TTAAACCCAGAGGAATGTTGTAAATACCGGGATTGTCTCTGGTGAAGGAAATCTTGATCACTGACTTATTCACCCTGACTTCTCTTTTCTTAGGCTTCTGGGTTCCAGCCTGAGGTTGCCGGTAATTTTACCTTCTTTTGGATTGATTTCTGTCTCCAGTAACCAGATCACACTTGTAGTTACAAGAGATAGGGGGAAATTCACCAACAGTTTTCAACACAGAAATAGGGGAGGCCTGGAAAGAGAGTTCAGATGCTGGGCTCCTGGAAAAGTAAGTCCGATGGGGTTGGTCTAGGAAATGAGAGGCCTAGCTCGGTGAGACACTGCGGAAAGTGAGCCCAAGGAGGTGGGGGGTGGGGGGCCTAAGCCGAGGCCCACGCACTCACGGCCTGGTGCCTAGGTGGCTGGTGGAACTTATCAATCTGTTGGGTAGTTTTCTGTCCTCTGTCAGGTGGCGATGAGTGGAAACTAATCTTCGGGGCCAGTTTGTTTCACCTCTGCAGGAAGCCAGCTGCATGCACTTTTCTCCAAACTTGCTTTCGTGGCTGGGAGAACGCAGGAATTGGAGAAAGCGAGCTGTGGGCCCAAATCCGCTCTTGCCCAGGAGATGTGGGCCGAACGAACTTCGAGGCTTACTGGGGAAAGCCGAGATGTCAGCAGTAGAGAAAATGTGGTGTAGGCTTGCGCAATTTGTGGTGAAGTTCACAGGATTAGGGCTCGAGGTAGCCCAGACAGTTAATTGAGATTCCTCCCCACTCCCCACTGCAGATTTGCTGTGGACACAGGCTCGCGAAGACAGGCTGCTCGACGTGGAAGGCAGGGCGTAGGCCAGGGCGGGTGCAGCCCTGGCGTATAGCGCAACCTTTTCCTCAGCGGAGCTGCGAAGGAAGGGGACTTGGCAACTCAGCTCACGGAACAAGGGGAGTGCTGCCTTTCATGTTTCACTGTTCAGCTTTTGCAGGTCTTTATTAATGGTCCCAATACATAACCCTCTTGTTAAAAAAAAAAAAAAAAGTTTAAAAGTTTAATAGCATCCACCCTACACGCGTAATCTCACTAATGGAGACTTCCTTTTAAGCCCCGCGCTTTTGGCGCATTCAGCTGCCCGCTCAACCCCTAAGCCTCCCACCCCAATATGGAAGACAGTTGGGCGTTGACAAATTCAATCCTCTCCCACAACAGCTGGTCACTTCTCTCCTCGTAGTGAGCCTCTGGCTCTTTCTAAGCCCTTGGAATCCAGAAGAGTGTATCTTGCCCTCCTCCAGGTTGAGGTAGACTAAAGTCTGAGCAGATGTCTTTGTCTTCCTGAGTCATTCCTAGGCAAGGATTTGATCCCCAGCTCGGCTCCTGCGGGAATCAAGAGGAAAACAAAGATGGTTATTTCAGCTCAGGCGGGGCTGAGAGAAGGGAGCAAGGACAAGAGGCTATCAGTTGCAGAAATCGGGGCCCAGAGTCTCCTTGACCTCCTGGGTTTAGATAGGGGGCTGACAGTGCAACAAGGTCAGGAACCACTCTCCTCTTTCAGCAGATTCCTTGGGTTAAAAAAAGGGGGGAGAATCAAGCAACTGGATTTGCTTTGGAGAATCTTTGTCACTTGAGAAATGGGTTGTGGATTGGTGTGGCATTGGGGAACATATGAATGGCATTCAGCAGCATCAATGTGGCTTAAACCCTGGCAGCTTTGCCACAGACTTCAGGGCATCATCTGAAGGAGGAACAGCACCCAGGTTCAGCATCCTACAATCACCCACCCCAGAAAAAAAGGTGATTTCAGTCAAGTGGACCATTCTGAGAGATACTGTGACTGTTTTCAGCGTCTACTTTGAGGGTTGCCTTGTAAGGATCTGCCTACCCACCCTAGTTAAGGGAGAAGTAGATAACTTGAGCTTAGAACAGTGGAGAGGGAGTGTGTTCAGCCCTGAGCAGTATCTGATAAAGGGTACCCTTGTTATGCACATCCATGTGTGAGGTCCTTTTCCTTTAACACAGTGTTTTTACTACCAGGTGACCTGTTTTACAAGTACTTTGGTGTTAACTACTCTGGGGGTGGAAGATACCAATCCTGAAAAATCTACATTCGTTTCATATGCTTTTCATTATTGAGATGGGAAAACTTAAGTGGGTGCTCAATAATGGATAAGGCTGTTTCTTAGCATCAACCTTGGCTCATGTGAATTGACCTTATCAGTCAATGTTACCGGCAGTTTCATTAAAATAACCAATGAATAATGTATCAAAGCTTAGTTTAAAGTTTCAAACATGTTTTCAGACAGAAACATTCCAAGAATGCAAGTCAGGTGTTTCTCAGATGCTACGTACAGGGAAATTCTCCGTTCTCAAGGAAATTCTCCCTTCTAGGTTTCCTGAGGTTGAAATCCAGCGTGCACGTCATTATTCATTCATAGGGTCGGTCCTTCAGTCAATGGCAGGTCAGAGTAGGCTAAATCGAGCGGTTAGTTAATCCTGCCACGGGGATCCTGGGGCGAAAGAGGACATCTGGGCAGTCAGTTACTTGTGCTGGTGGCCAGCCCCTGCCCCTCTTGCCCCGGTCCGAGTGCAGGAGTGCGTGTGCCCTGATTCTCAGGAACACAGATCGAGAGCTTCCCAGAAGGAAAAACAAATTCGTCATAATATTCAGCGCAGCCGAGAGTTTCCAACAAGAAAGCAGCTCCAGTCTTGGCATGATGACTCAGGGTGGCGTTTAAACGCTGAATAAACCCTTTCCTTAGCTCTTTAATAAATCAGTAACAACAACAAAAACAGCCTTCTCCCCCAACCGCGCCACACCAAAGCCTTCCCAAGTTGGGCTACGAATCCCTGTTTGGTTTTCCGCCGCCGAAAGCTGTAGAAGCAGTGGGATCTCCTGGCGGGACGCGGTTCTCGAAGGGCTCTCGGGAAGGGGACGAGATAACAGGGTGTACTGGCAAAGAGAGGAGAATCTGGAAATCGTGTTATGGGGGAAGAGAGTGCGTCGCCCAGTCACAAGTGTGCGGTAGAGGTGGGAGAGGACGAAGACCCATTTTCACATTTCAACCCCCCGTTTCTGTTGCTGCCCCTGGAGACTCCGCTGCTCACGCAGAGCTGGTTTCCGCGCGGCTCTGGCCCTAGTCGGCGAAGCGGAGTGGCCGCGCTGCGCATGAGAACTGCTGGGGTGCTTGGCTCTGGTAGAGGCGCACCCAGGGTCCGGGGCGCAGCTTCTCTCAGCCCAGCTTCTCCTCCCACTCACTCGCTCGGATCTCCTCCCTCCTTCACACCCCCCGCCCCCGGGACCGCGAGGCTCCCTCCCCGCACCGGCCAGTGAGTACACAAAGCCGCGGGTGAGGGGAAGCTTCGCAGGCGTGCACGGAGCAGTGAGATCACTGGCGTTATAAATATCCCGGTGCCAGCACGGAGATCCGCTCGGGTGGCCTCTCTCTCCCCCTCTCCCCTTCTCTTCCCCGAGGCTATGTCCACCCGGTGCGGCGAGGCGGGCAGCGCCAGAGGCACGCAGCCGCACAGGGGCTACAGAGCCCAGAATCAGCCCTACAAGATGCACTTAGGACCCCCGCGCCTGGAAGAATGAGCTTGTCCTCCCTTCTCCTCCTCTTCTTCAGCCACCTGATCCTCAGCGCCTGGGCTCACGGGGAGAAGCGCCTTGCCCCCAAAGGGCAATCTGGACCCGCTGCCAGTGATAGAAACCCTAGAGGCACCAGCAGCAGACAGAGCGGCAGTAGCGCTATGTCTTCCTCTTCTGCCTCCTCCTCCCCCGCAGCTTCTCTGGGCAGCCAAGGAAGTGGCTTGGAGCAGAGCAGTTTCCAGTGGAGCCCCTCGGGGCGCCGGACCGGCAGCCTCTACTGCAGAGTGGGCATCGGTTTCCATCTGCAGATCTACCCGGATGGCAAAGTCAATGGCTCCCACGAAGCCAATATGTTAAGTAAGTTACTCGCTCTCCTACAAACCCTATCCTAGGCGGGCGGCAGAAGATTCCAGAGGGACAGCAGGTAGTCCCCGGGCCACAGGCGCACCTTCCTGAGTCCGGGTCACTGGGACCAGCTGATACTCAGAAACAGCCGGGCGGGTTGGGTGGAAACGCATCTATATGGTGTGCGCACACGCACCCCTCTCCTGGGCATGAGGAATGGCGATTTCTGAGGTGTATGTTACCTAGAGGCTGGTGCCCAGGCGGGTACCTTGTTTCCCGTTTGTCCTAGCCTCAAAGACGAATCTCCAGCCATGAGGGGAGAGAACAAAAAATCTCACTCCTTCTCGTTCAATGTGTTTACCTTCTGCTTATGAACTAGCCTGACATTTTTCATTAGGCATTAAAGTGCAGCCCTTCTCCATATCCATAACTGAAGTTATTTTTTAAAAAGAAGAATCAAATCTTAAATACTTCCCTCTTCCAACTGCTACCATAAACCTCGAATTAATATTGTATATGTATATATGTTTATGTATACAATACATTCACATAGGTATATATAGACACAAAATATAGATAGATAGATAGATAGATAGATAGATAGATAGATAGATAGACAGATAATTAGGGGACACCAGAAAGACATTTCTGCTTGGAAGAAGATTGTGCTCTAGAAAACTGGACGCGTTTAGAGAGGGAGACGTGATAAACATTGTAATTACTAACTCCAGAGTTGGATTTAGAAAGGTTTAGTATCTTGACACCATGACTACACCTTGTTAGGAGAGTGACCAGCCTTTGGTACTCTAGAACAGTTAGGGGAAAGTTTCTTATTTTAGAAGAAACACAGAGGTTAAATTTGGTTTGAGTGTAAATTTTGCAGGACTTTTTGTAAACAAAGTTTTACATTTCCCTCTGAGTTTTCTCTTGCAGCACGCGCTCTGTTCTCCTTTCCCATCTTCTCTTCCCGTCCACCCCATCTGTGTTTCCAGACCATCGCAGCCACTCCTCTGGTTTCCCTTCACTGCCTCTAGGCAGCTGGGGGCAGAGGCGGCTTGGGAATATGTGTAGGACTAGAGGGATCTCTGTGGGACTTTTGCTCCGTAAGGCCAGATTCCTCTTCCAGCGCGGGTTGGTCAGCCAGGCAGAGCCCCAGCCAGGGCCTGTCAGGTACCGAGGGAGAGCGGAAATGTAGCCAGGAGACAGCAGTGCGCATAGTCACCTGTCTTTCAATGTCAGCCTGGTTGCTCCTAGATGTACCTACCTTGCTCCCTCTCAGACCAAAGACTCCGCGGGCCTTTGGGCTCCTTTCACAGGCTCCAAGAGGAGCCTGGACGCTACCGGCAGGCTGAAATTTTGGCAGCCAGTCTCCGGAGTGGGATCGGAGCTGCGCAAGTGGGTTAGGTGGTAGGTTGGCAAGCCTCCTCCCGCCGGTTAAGGGGGCCTCGTGTGGAAGTCCTGATGGTTCATGCTGAAAGAGGAACAGGTTTATGCCCGCCCCCTGCGCCTGTCTAGTCTATTGGTGGCGCTGATTTAGCAGCCTGCGGCGCACGTGGTGAGGGAGACTGGAGCGCCCAGTCGGAGACAGCGAGCCCCAGTGAGCCCCAGGGCCTCCCTCACCCTCCCAAGAGGAACCTATATCCATATTTTAGAGTTTATTTCATTCATCAAATAACTGCTTATTTTGGTAATGGATAAAGTTCAAAATCTATTGGGGTGAAGGGGAATTTTCTGAGATTTGAGAAATAACCAGTAACGTCTGTTTCCATTCGTCCTTCTCATTTTGTCTCAACCATCTCTTGACTCCATTAGCCATCACAGCTTATTCTCCACTTCAGTCAACCCTTCCTTCTTTCTCCCAAGAAAACTTTCTCTCTTTCGTTATTCTTGTAATTTATCCAGGAATCAGCAGCAACAGAGGATAACTTCTGTGAGCTCAAGGGAGACCCCAAACTAACAGGCAGCAAGCTGCAGGTTGGAGCCCAGGGAGCTCAGAGGATGCCTCTGGGGAGGGTTTAGTTGTAATGGAGATCTCGGAAAGCAAGGCTCATTCCCAGGATAGTCACCGTCTTCTCTAGAAAGACACTGTAAGAGACAAAGACAGTTTTACAGCTTAGGCCTTGCTAGAGGGGATGTTGTAGAAAAGCAAAGGGAGGAAAATAAGAGCACATCAAAAAGGATACATCCAGCTAAACCAGACATTTACAAATACCCAGTATGTAAAATGTACATTTTCTTTTAAAATCCATGTTGAAAGCTATCTACAAGAAAACAGGGATGTTTCCTAAAACCGTGCCGAAATAAAACTCAATTTAGACTTTTTCCTAGTTTTTTTCCTCTTTACAATAACCTTTCAGAGTTTAGTTTCTGGGTCTTTCACATGACTTGCTTTCATTCACATATTGATTCATTCATTCATGTACCCAATATAAGACACCTATCTCATTAAGCATGATATTTTGGTTACTTTTGTGTTGTTTGTCTTCCATAGAGTCCCCACACCCTCAGAAGAAAGCATAACAAATATTTAAATCATGGTGATTTTCTGCTTTGTGATGTCTGGAGTGTCTAATACTACTTCAGAAAATTTTTACTACCATTGATCAATGAAGAATTTGCATGTAATTTGTGAATTTAAAATGGATCTCTGCCATTACCTAGTCGTAAAAGAGAAACAGAAGCTTGCTAATTACAATTGGTCATTTGCCTCTTTGAATGCAGCACTTGATGTTTCCTGACATTCCTGTAAACTTGGGTGTTGGCCATGACCTTTCTCAGAGTATGTGAAGAAATGTGTTTAAATCTCACAGAGGCTGAGAGGGCCAGATCAAGATGTATCCACAAAGGACACATCAGTTTGATTTCATCATCTAATTCTACTGTCTGTGAGGTAGCAACGATAGAAAACATATTCCTTTCCTTACAAGCCTGATACTTCAGAAAAGTCAAAGCTTTGCCATGAAACTTCATTCTAACAAGTTATTTTAAACCTAATAACATTCTGTAGTATTTGTCTGATAGACAGATAAACATATGTTCACAACTATTATTTGACAGTAAACTTTTATATCTATATTTTTGCAAATTGCAAATATTTTTTGGTTTCACCATCAGAAGTACATTCTGGCCATGGACTTTCAAACATAATTTGTTTAGTTTACATGAACCAATTAATATATTCTTAACTTCTCTTATACAATATTTATTCCAAGTTTTGAAGACAGAAAATGAAATCAAGCTCATTGTACATAAATCCTTATTATGAGGAAACACGTGGAAAGATGAAGAAAGATGAACAAGACAAGATAGATGACCCAAATATTGCTTGGAAACAAAGGGTTTGCTTCAATTTATATGTCTTCGAGTTTAGTTTCAACACAGTGCTTCTGTTTACTTATCTTGGGCCACTGAATAATAGCTAATCAAGTAATTTTAGGGAAGAAAAGTTTAAGGCTGTGGCTACACAAACTCAACGCGATTACATGAAATATGCAAATTCCAAGCACATATTTTGGCTAATAGAATGGCCAATGTTACTGCTTTTTAAAAAAATCTAAATTCACTACCAATTTTGGTGTCATGTGGAATCATTAGACAGTCCCACAAGCCTAAATAAATCAGAATCTGTATCTACTATGTAGAAAAAATCAAGTGGAAAATTTCTGTTACTAATTTAATCAGTGAAGGCTGCTAAACTGAATATTTCAAGATTCAGATTTGATAACTTGGCACAGCATATCTGTTACTTTGTGGATGCAAGTAGAGAAACTCCAGTTTTAAAATATTTTTCTCTGGGGATTTTCAGATGGGTTGTTGAAAGCTTCTGAATACATGGGATATGTATGCTTTTCTATATTTTATTCATAACAAAAGAGAGAAAAAGGAAAAATTTGTATAATTATACCAACCACTATCAATACAGCCCTATTATATTAAAACATCTGCAGAGGACTAAGTCAAAAATCTAGAAATTTTTTTTCAGAAGTAAACTTACTTCATAATGCATAAATGGAATAGACTGTGTGTGTAAGCTGAGAGATACCAAGAAATTCTTGCCTTCTTCAGCCTAGGTGCCAATGCCGAAATCCCATGAAGAGAGAATAATTCCTTCTCTTAAGCATTCTCCTCTTCTTCTGACCCTCTTAAATGGGAACACTTTAGGAAAAAAGCACAGGGTCACTAGCACTGTAATGTGAATTAGTCCACACTGAACCACCCCCACCCATGGCTTCTAAAGCAGGAGAAGGCCACAGTATCAGGAGAGTACTAAGACACCTGTCCATACTTGTGTATACATGGGGTGTCCTGATGAGAGAAAAGAGAGGTAGTAAAAGAGTCAAAGAAGACAGTCAAATTTAACAAACAGTCATTGACTACCACCTATGAGACAAGCTTGGCCTTCCACAATTTTGCTTAGAGATACTGCCTTGGCATTCATAAGGAGAATTGTTAAGTTTCCATCAAATTTAATGTATCTGACTCCCAATGATAAAGGTCAGAAAATTACTGAAATCGAAAAGAAACCACTGTCAAAGAAATGTTTTCTGAAATTTGTATATGTGTGATTTAATGTACCTTGGTTTAAAAAATTATACAGAATTCTTAAATGAGTTACTGAGATTTGTCATAGTAAAATCAATAGGCCTGTGATGTCTTGGGGAGGAGGGCAGGAAACTGAATCGTGTGACTTGTTGAATCTGCTCCAGTGTTTAGAAAAACAAGACATTGTGAAATCACTACTGACATTACTTTGAAAATTATGATCATAACAGTGTTCTTAATATTAGGTCGTAATAATAGTAAGATTTAGAAGATCAATACCAAAGTTGCCTATGTGAAAAGTAATTCATCCATCCAATCTTATCTCTTACATCTCCTGCATTCCTTATAACAGTAAATAGAATGATATATGTAAAGTGTATTTTTAAGCTTTCAGTTAAAGATAATTTTCTTAAAGTTATAAATCCTTTAATTCTCAGGGAATATATCATTTTTATCCTGGAAAATTTAAGAAGAAATCATGCAATATGTAATCAAATAATAACACCTTCACATATATTATTTCATCTTCCCCACATTTAAAATTCATTGCATGCAAATTGTACATAATATATACACACAAAATGTAAACTGTATTGAAATACAAGTTAAATGATTCTAAGTTGGTCTTTCTTTAAAAATTGGAATAAGTAAGTTATCAGCAACTATTTATTTAAGCAAAGCAGTATTATTTCTATTAAAACAAATATTTATAAAGCCTTTTTATCTCAACATCTTCAAAGTTAGCATACAAACACATACACTTATGAAACTTTAATATTTTATTCTATCATATATTTTTCATTAATATACAATATATCTCATGTTCAAAACCAGATAAATTTCCAGGGAATGGAATTAAAAGCCTCTGACAATCTAGCACCATGAGTAACTTGGAGGAAATATACAACCAAATCTCTCCTCTATCAACTCCGTGTTGTCCCTTTTGTATCTATCATTTCACACATATACAATTTCTCACTTTCTTTCTCATTTTTGAATGCACATGTTTACGTAAAAATTTACAATCACATCCCTATCTCCCAAATATCTAAAAGCACTGATGCTATTCTCAGTATCATGCTGTAATTCTGATAGAAATTTAACTTTTTATTAGCATTCTAGTCACCCTTTAGTAATAATATTACTATAACATGTTATGTCTGTATAGAGTATTTAACTTTACAAAGCACTTGGTATGCTTTGTTAATATTTTATAAAATGATAATGCTTTTAAACCTTTGGATGTGTATCATACTTAAATAATGTTCATAGTACATTATATTATAAATAGCATTTGAAAAACATGTTGAAGGAAAGGATTTATAAGACAGTGGTGTTTTTTGTTTGTTTGTTTTTTAGCAGTTTACTCCTAAAAGCAAAAGTAGTTTCTAATAGTTTTTAGTTTTTGTTTTTCAATTTAAAGAAACATCTATTAATGGACGAGTACCTGAAGTGTCCCTAAGCTATGTTTTATTTACTGTGGGTTAAAAACATTTTTTTAAAAAAGTTGTTCAGTTATTCCCTTTTTCACATAAATTTTCTGATCAAGTTTTTTAAGAAACCAAGTTGAATAAATAAACAGCAACGCTTGCTACCTTACAGATGTTAGTTCACATTGTACAATGTAAGTGCTCAATCAAGTTGCTCACATATATTTATAAAATATTTTTTGTTTTTGGTAAGCAGAATAGTTTTATATGTACCTCAAATACTGTAGGGAGAAACTTCTATTTCAAGAATATATGATGAATTTCTCTATTTGGCAGAGTCCTATTGACATATCCTGATTTGTGTATTCGCTCAGAATATTATAGATTGAAGTATTGAGATGTTCTTTTCTCCTTCCTCCCTTCTGTATTTCCTTCTTATCTTCCTTCCTTCCTTTCCTTTTTAAAACTAGAGATGAGGTGTCACTATTTTGACCAGATGATCTTGAACTCCTGGCATGAGGCAATCCTTCAGCCTCAGACTCCCAAAGTGCTGCAATTACAGGTGTGAGCTACTGCACCTGGCTTCCCTTTTTCCTTTCTAAAACAAGTCCCTTTTTATGTCTATTGAACTAAAAACCTCTTTTAAAAAAATTTGAAATAAACAACTAATAAAAAACATTATGTTCTTTTCATGTTCATATAACATACATACATTTGTGTTAAAAAGCAAGCTTTCTAATTATATGCAGACTATGAGTTTTATCTTATTGAAATACTCTATGAACTGTGGTGTATAATTCTCTTGATCCAGGGGATGTGAACTTTGAAATTACTGTAGAAGACACAGAGACATTGACTTTATAATGCTAACTATAAAATACAAAATATAAACAATAATATAATAAACTCTCATTAATTTTTTTTCAGAAAATGATTTAAAATGTAAGATTTCTCAAAGCATAATCTATTAAAACATTTAATTGAACCAATAATTTCAAGTTATTTATAATGCTTTTGGTATTATATATGCAGTCTTTAAATGTAGTCACTAAAAGACTGAGTATGGTATATGTTTATTTGTTACTACCATTAAAACCACGATGATTAGAGCAGAGAAATTTATTTAATGTAAATAAGTATTATTCCAGGCTTTCAAGTGGTTATACTAGTCTTGAGCATGGAATTTATGTGCTTTAATATTCAAAGTGGTGTACTATCTTTGACGAAGAAACAATGGATGAGAATTATTAAAATTTTTTAAATGTCTTCTCAGTTCCTTTAAAATCTTAGAAAATCTTATGCTCATTGTTTACTAAAAGCAAATTATTTGTCCAAAAAATTACGATGAGGTAGAATTAAATTTTTAAATCTTGAAATTATCTTAAATCCTAGTCTTATTTTTTTATGTAGTGAATGTCATGAAAAATAAGGATTTTAAATACAAATTTCTTTTTTTAAATCACAATAATAAAGAATGAAAAGAACCTATGTAGAAATTTAATTTTTCACAATAATATAAAGAAGAGTCTGTTTTATTTTGGGATTTCTGTCATCCTAGGTATTTTGGAAATATTTGCTGTGTCTCAGGGGATTGTAGGAATACGAGGAGTTTTCAGCAACAAATTTTTAGCGATGTCAAAAAAAGGAAAACTCCATGCAAGTGTAAGTAGAACCACTTTATATTTGTTCAAGGTGCTATAAAGATTTTACATTTGTAAAACAGAATAAAGTAATTTTCCAAATTAGTAGGTGAGACAATTTGCCCAAAGAACTTAATTTTTTTAAAAGTATATGTACATTTAACCAAGAGAATTTTGTGTGCTTCTAGAAGTAATCATTTAAATATTTAATTTGCTTGAAAAGATATTATAGAGTCTACAAAAAGTTTAAGCATAGATGTATTTGGAAATAGCATTCTCAAAGGGGTAACCATCCATTTATTTCTTAGAAGCAGCCCACATAAGAAGAAATATTATGGCAATAATATATTTCATAACATATAAGTTTATAGTGATTGTGCGTTTGCTTAGTAGATGAAGTTATTAACTTTACAAGCTACTCATACCAAAAATTGGGTCTCAGTAATGTAAAATATTTTCAAATTAACAAGTAGGGAGAGAAGAAACGAATAATTAGACGACTCTGACTTTCATAGATAAATTTTATTTGATTAATTTGAAGAATTTTTATCTCGTATTTTTGTCACATCAAAAATAATAACTTAATACTATGAAAACTAATTTTGCATTCTCAAAAATTTATTTAGATCAGTTTTACATACTGTAATCAATTTACAAATTATTTATTTGCTTTGTTATGCAAGTTCCCATTACCTGGGAAGTATTAAAACATATTAAAGATAATAAAGTATGTTCAGCTTATAGTTTTCCCACTCACAGATTCTATTTGTATTAGTATATATGCACCACACTTAAAGATGCTTTATCCTTTTTCTGTGGTATACTCATTTTCTTCACATTAAAATATTTTGAAAGCAATTATTCTTTAAAGTTAGTCCTTTAATCCTTATTCCTTTTAGTATTAAATAAATTATTGGAATATCACTTTTTCAATTTTCAAAGTTATAGAAAGTTTTGATAGCTATCAATTGAAACTTACTATTTATAATTTTATTTGATAGATCTTTAAAGAATTCAATGAGAATACCACTGGGTTTAATATGTAAGACTTTTATAATTTTACTTTTCTTAACATCTAGAGGTGATTTGTTAATATCTTTTGGAAGAGACAGAATTTGAGCAATTTCAATAGTTATTTGAGGATTCAATGAGATAATGCATGCAATGTGCTTAGAATACTATTTGGTGTATTGTAAGTGCTCAATAAATATTGTCGATTATTATAGGGTAACATTCTGAATATAATAAACTGCTAAAATCTCATTTTAACAACATGAATAGACATCCTTTGTTAAACTCTGAAATCACCCATTGCAAGAACTGTTAAACAATTTACCTATTTCATTTTTTGAGCTGGTTACTATACTCTATCAAGCTATAACATAGTATTCAGAAAGACGTTTTTTAGATTTTTTCATTTATTTAAGGGACAAAATTCTGCATCACTGTGAAAAAGTAGGATATTTAATTTTTTAAATTTATTTTTTATTTCAATAGGCTTTTAAGGAGCAGGTGATATTTGGTTATGTGAGAAAGTTCTTTAGTAGTGATTTCTGAGATTTTAGTGCACCCATCACCTGAGTAGTGTGTACAGTACCCCATGTGTGTACAGTACCCCACCCATTCCCCCTTTACCACTGAGTTTCCAAAGTCCAATGTATCATTCTCAGGGCATTTAATTTTATTTAAAAATATTATGTAAAATCCACATACAGAATGGAAAACAATGATTACACACATCTGAACAAAATAACTTTTCCCCAGTCTACTTTAAGCTTATGAAATATTAAAACACCTTCAAAATCTAACCACCATAATAACACACTATGCATGCAAAGAAACTTTCTCTTACTGGTTTGTTTTGGGTAAAAATCTTAACTTTTAAAATATTCTGATTTATGCCCTAGTACACGCAAAAAATAGTCCACACTTGGAACAGCTTAAGGATAATTGCCAAAGAAAGTAACATATTACAAATGGAAGCCAATTAGAAAGGTCAAACTAAGAGGTTAAGATACGTGATTCCTCTGTCAAATGCAAGTAACGAATTTCTAGAAATTTGACCCAAATGTCTAAAGATGGCTGGTTGAAATAATGCAGATAATGCAAAAGCAGCATCTGTTATTCTTTCTCATCTTGGCAGGCTAGAGTTATTTCATAGAATAATGACTTTCAGACAGTACAAAGCAAGTCTTGCTCTTGTCACTCACTGAAGCTCTTTGATATAAAAGTCATTCTGATGACTTTGAGCTGAATTGTAGATAAAAATATTAAGTCCTATGATTATGCAGATTCTTTTTAAACCAATTATCCAAGCTCACTTTCTCTTATCTGAGCTTTTATTAGCACTTTTCCTCTAGGTGAAAAACTAATTAAATTATAAAGTGATTTATTTTTTAAAGATGTTGAATTTAGAAATAGTATTAATGCTAGCAATTATCAGTTTCTTTCTTGTTTTCATATTCTAGTTAAATGTGTTGGGAAATTGTTCTTGTAACTCTAAATATGACTGATTTAGTTAACAGTTCTGGTATTTAAAACTTCACATCATCCCCCAAAAAGGTTAAAAACTCATAGAATTTTAGGCTTAGACTTGTAATTGGTGTGTTGCTTTAAATTAATAATTTTGCAGAGGCATTTAAAGAGTACCTTTAGGGTTCTATCTACAAAGCAAAGGTGAACTAAAAATATAAAATATTAATAGAATTCTGAGAAATGTAATTCCCCACTGCACCGAGAAATATTCATGGATACTTGTAGATATTCAACTCAGTTTTTGTAGTAATAATCAAAGTATTAAAAATTAGTTACTAGGTAGAGATAATGTACTTTCATAGTTCTCTAAAAGCTCTTTCACTCACATTATCTCATTAGATAATGAAGTAATGAAAGAGTCTCATAGATGTTAAATTATTTTCCCAAGGTTACACAGTTAACAAGTGATTGAACCAGAACTATATCCTCTTAAATTTTTCTCTTTCTCTTTAAATGCCATAGTGCTTGCTAGATAAAAGTTAGCCTGAAAGAAGATAAGGTTTTGTTTAGAACCAATTACACTGTTTTCATCTGTTAATTTATAGGAATTAATATGTGCATGAAAACATTTTCATATTACATATAAAAATAAATACTGTGGCATATCATCAGAATATTTATAGTACTTTACTTAATAGGCAAATGAACAGGCAATTTGAGATTTGTAGTTAAAGTTGCAAATTTTCCCATTCTAGGTACTTCCTTTTCTCTTTGATTCATATCACTTTTTTGAATTGGCATATTCCCCATCTACTCTTGTGTCTCCAGTGCTTCATTTTAGAACCTAGAGAAGAAGGGATGTGTCTGTCACAGAACTCATCACAGAATTTTACAAATGTTGGTTATTCTATGTCAGTGATGAGTTGCATAGGGAACCCCTCCCTCCCAATATAAACTTTTGAAACAGAAAAGAGATCTGTTTTGCTCACAGAAATCTTTAGTTAGTAAATATTTTACTGTCCATAGACACAAAGATGGCAAACTGAAAGGGCAGCCCAGAGCAGATTTAGGCAGCTAAATTGATTAGATTGATGCTAATTCCATTTTTGGGCTAAATTTGTTAATTCCATCGGAGAAGTCTTATGTGAACTTCAGCCATCTAAATGTATGGGGCTCCTTGGACTCATTCAAGACCCTGATTTAAAGGCAGCTCTCCTTCAAACCTTTATTGGTATACTCTAAATATGCAATGCAAGCAAACTTCTGTCGTGCACGTTTTTCAGCCATCTTCACAAGGGTGAGGATGTATGGTCTTCTCCTTGTCCAAATGTATCAAGAATCATCAAGAGCAGAAGGAGATAATTGCTTTCCAAAGAGCCATAAGGGCTACTCCAAGCCATAGCTGTGGCCAGCATGCTCTTTCTCAACACATTCATTCCCATGCTAAGATATCTTCTGAGACTGAGCGCCCTTCTCTTTCTGCCTTTCTCTGTCTGTCTGTCCCTGTTCCCTTCTCAGGTTGGCATCGTTATTGAAAATCCCTTTCTGGATTTATCTGAGGTGGGTCCAGACTAGGAGTAAAAGGCCTTGAGTGTGGTGGTAAAGACACAGTTAGATAGTCCCAGCTGAATCCCACTCCACCTCTTCCTAGCTGTGACATTTTACTGCATCTTTCTATTCCTTGGTTTTATCAACTGTTAAAGAAGGAAAATTAAAGTAACACTCTATTGGGATAGCTAAGTGTTTTAAGCAAGATAATACATATATAACACTTACTGTGCTGTTTGAAAAGTGTTCTACACTTAATGTTTAAACAGATTTTCCTGAATTTGCCCTCAGGCGGCTGTTTGACAATCCTTAATCTCTTTCTTTCTGATTTTGGGGTCAGGCAGCTATGACCCTTAAATTATTCAGACCAGCCTCAAGTCCAGTTAATCACTGATCTTCCTTGGGTCCAAGCTTTGTGTGCTTATAGTTGTCCCTTATCTACCAGGTTTTCCTTTTTCCGAGGAGCCTAATTTCAAAGCAAAATTTCCAAGCTCAACCTCTTAAAGAGTCATGGATTTCTTATGCTCATAATCTTGTTATTTTTTTAATGGCTATGTCATCCATCTTCATTTTTCTCTAAAAAATATAAATCTTGGAAAAGATGGTTATCATGTATTCTTGTATTTTCATTAAAGCATGCATAAGGCTCATTGCCTATTGGAGAAAAACATGTTAGCTTATTTTAAAGATCCAGAGAGAAGCATGTGGTGGAATTATTTTTGTTTCTCAGTGTTCTAGGGGATCGTGTTTGGAAGGAAAGCTAATTGCAGAGTTTACGAAACGGGCATGGAATGTGTGCTTGATCAGTCTTAAGCAAGGACTAGAACATCCACCTTTCCTGGTTTCAGAGGGTGCCAGCTGGCTTGCCTGGGATGAGACTCCAGACTGCACTTCTGCACTGCGGGCAGAGTGAAGAGTAGTCGGCAGCCCCAAAGCTGAGCATGTTTACTGAAAGGGGAAATGGAGGCTTGAGCAGTACTTTTAATCATTAAAAAATAA